TGAGCTCCACGTGTACACCTCCTGGCACAGTACCTCAGAAGAGAAATAGAGGGGGAGGAGAGAGGGAGGACTGGAGGAAGGAAGAAGAGAAAAAGAGCAATGGGGTGGGGAGGAGCTCGGAGGATTTGGGGGGAACAGAGAATAAATATGATCAAAACACATTGTATGTATATACGAAATTCTCAAACATTATAAATATATATTTCGAGACAAAGTGTGCCAGGCTTTCTTTTGGGCCTCCAACCAGCTCCAAAATCATGACACCGACACTTTATTAATAGTTATGAATGCTTGGCCTTATCTCATGCTTGTCAGGCCCACAGGCTCTTATAACTTAACCTGTTTCTCGTCATCTACATTTTTGCCTCGGGACTTTGTACCTTTCTTTCATTCTGTGTGTCCTACATTCCTGCTTCTTGTGTCTGGCTGGCTGGTGGCTGACTGGCTTCTGGCCTGAGGTGTGTCCCTCTCTTTCTCCCTTGTTCTCTCCTGGCTCCTTTCTTCTATTTATCCTCATCACCAGCCCCGCCTATGCCTCTCCTGCCTGGCTATTGGCTGCTCAGCTTCTTAATAGACCAATCAGGTGCCTTAGACAGGCAAGTGCACAAATTGAAACAAATGCAATACACCTTTAACAATTAAACAAATACAGTATAAACAAATGTAACACATCTTTACATCATTAGCAAAGGTAGCAGAAACAAATGTAATACACTTTTACACAGTTAAAGTAATATTCTGTAGAATTAATAAATGTAATACATCTTTACATAGTTAAATATTCCACAACAACAAGGTCTTATAATAAATGTGTTTTTTAAAAGGTCTCAAAATAAAAGTAATCTTTTTTAAAAAAAACTAGTTTATTTAAATTTATTTTATGTGCATTGGTGTGAAGTGTTAGATCTCCTGGAACTGGAGTTACAGACAGTTATGAGTTGCCATGTGGGTGCTGGGAATCGAACCCGGGTCCTCTGGAAGAACAGCCAGTGCTCTAAACCGCTGAGCCACCTCTCCAGCCACCAATAAAAGCAATCTTTAAAAAACATAAAATGTTTGTCTTGGGAGACGGTCACAGCATGGACTGCTCCTGCTGCGGAGGAACCAGGTTTAATCCCAGCAGCCACACGGAGGCTCAGAGCCAAGGGCAACTCCAAGGGATCTGACACCTCTCTTGATCTCATAGGCCCTGCATACACATGGCACACAGACACACACACACAAGACAAAAATACTCACACACAAGACAAAAATAAATAAAAAGGGGGTCAAGAGAGATGGTTTAGTGGTTAAGAACACTGACTGTTCTTCCAGAGGTCCTGAGTTCAATTCCCGGCAACCACACGGTGGCTCACAACCACCTTGAATGAGATTTGGTGCCCTCTGCTGAACTGCAGGCAGAAGACTGTATGCAAAATAAATAAATAAAATCTTTAAAAATAAATAAATAAATAAAAAGTTTGTAGCCAAGTGTGATGGCACACTCCTTAAATCTCAGCACTCAAGAGGCAGAAGTAGTGGGATGTCTGTGAGTTCAAAGCCAGCCTTGTCTACAGAGTGAGTTCCAGGACAGCCAGGTCTATTGAGACCCTGTCTCAAAATAAATAAATAAATAAACCAACAAATAAAATTATGAAAGTTACTTATAATTTCTTTTAAAATAAATAAAATTAGAAATTAAAACCCTCTTAGGGCCTGGGGAAGTATGTCAGTTGGTAGAGTTCTTGCCATCACGCTAGGATGCCTAAACCAAGAGTGGAGACCCAGCCCTGTATGCTGGGTAGGTAGAGAGAGGTGGTGCAGTTCCCCAACCCTTGGGTTGTGTGTGCTTTGTGAGTAGAATATTTGTTTAACTGTGTAAAGATGTGTTGCATTTGTTTTACCTCGTCCAGTTAAGGCACCTGATTGGTCATATAAAAAGCTGAAGAGCCAATAGATAGGCAGGGCTGGAAGGCAGAGAGGAGGAGGGGGGCGGGGAGAAAGAAAGGAAGATGCCCAGGACCACACATGGAGGAAGCAGGAATGTAGGACACACAGAAGGAAAGAAAGGTAAAAAGCCCATGGCAAGATGTAGATGAAGAGAAACAGGTTACTAGTGGGACAAGCATAAGGCCTAACATTCATAATAATAAGTCTCCATGTCACCAGGCGGTGGTGGCGCACGCCTTTAATCCCAGGACTTGAAAGGCAGAGGCAGGTGGATCCCTGTGAGATCAAGGCCAGCCTGGCCTACAGAGCGAGTTTGCTACAGGTGTGGCTGGAGAGAGGGATCAACAGTTAGGAACATGAAGTAATTTTGTAGAGGGGATCTTCACTCAGTTCCCAGCACCCACACTGTGTGGCTCACAAGCACCTGTAAACTCCAGCTACAGGAGATATGATGTCCTCTTCTGGCCTCTTTGGATACTGTATGCAGACGGTGCACACAAACCCACAAAAGCACACACTCATACACTTAAAAATATTTTTAGCTAGGCAGTGGTGGCACATGTCTTTAACCTCAGCTCTCAGGAAACAGAGGCAAGTGGATCTCTGAATTCTGAGTTTGAGCCCAGCCTGGTCTAAAGAGTGAGTTCCAGGACAGCCAAGAATTATACCGAGAAACTATGTATTAAAAAACTACTACTACTTGGGCGTTGGTGGCGCATGCCTTTAATCCCAGCACTCGGGAGGCAGAGGCAGCCGGATCTCTGTGAGTTCAAGACCAGCCTGGTCTCCAGAGCGAGTGCCAGGACAGGCTCCAAAGCTACACAAAGAAACCCTGTCTGGAAAAACCAAAAACAAAAACAAAAAAAAACAAGCAAACAAGCAAACAAACAAACAACTACTACTACTACCACCACCACTACTATTACTACTACTAATACTAATACTACTACTAATAATAATAATAAATAAAATGAATTTTAAAGATTTATTATTATGTATACAGTGTTCTGCCTGTATGTCTGCCTGCAGGCCAGAAGAGGGAACCAGATCACATTACAGATGGTTGTGAGCCACCATGTGGTTGCTGGGAATTGAACTCAGGACCTCTGGAAGAGCAGCCAGTGCTCTTAACTACTGAGCCATCTCTCCAGCCCCTTCTTTTGTTTTGTTTTTTGTTTGTTTTTGTTTTTTGAGAAAGGGTTTCTCTGTGTAGCCCTCACTGTCCAGGAACTCACTCTATAGACCAAGCTGGCCTTGAGCTCACAGAGATCCACCTGTCTCTGCTTTCCAAGTGCTGAGATTAAAGGCATGTACCACCACTGCCCAGATGAAAATATTTTTAGCCGGGCGTTGGTGGCACACCCCTTTAATCCCAGCACTCGGGAGGTAGAGGCAGGCAGATCTCTGTAAGTTCGAGGCCAGCCTGGTCTCCAGAGCGAGTGCCAGGATAGGCTCCAAAGCTTCACAGGGAAACCCGTCTCAAAAAACAAAAAAACAAAAAAAAATTATTTAAACATATCATGTTTAGGACATTGCTATTGCAATCATTAGATTTGTACAACAACCAACAGGGAGACTGCCTCAATGTTTTCCTTCGAGTGAACTCTGTTCTCAGGACCACAGTGTCAGCCACTTCACTGTCAGGATAACTTGGGATCCATAGCTGTATCTCCTAGAGTTACCACTTGAAGTAGATTCATATACTCCAATTGTCCCAAACACACCAAATTTCACAACACAGAATCTAAGTCCACTTTTAAAGGCTTATTTTTAGGACTGAAGAGATGACTCAGTGATTAAGAGCACTGGCTGCTCTTCCAGAGGACCCAAGTTCAATTCCCAGCACCCACCCATTTGTCAGCTCACAACTGTCTGTAACTCCAGTTCCAGGGGACCTGAAACCCTCCTACAGACATACATGGAGGCAAAACACCAATGCACATGAAATAAAACAATACATTATAAAACAACGTATCTTTTAAAAGTATGTCTGTGTGGGTGTGTGCACATGGGTGTAATGCCCAAAAGGACCAGAAGAGGGCACTGGATCCCCTGGAACTGGAGTTGTGCTAGAGACCAAACTCAGATCCCTCTGCAAGAACAGCTGGTGCTCTTTACCCCTGCGCCATCATCTCTTCAACCCTGAAGTTTGATGTTAAACATGTTTCAAAAATTACATGTTCATTGTGGGAGGGGCACTTGCCATGGTGAATGTGAGGCTTGAGGTCAACTTTAAAGAGTCACGTCTGGCCTTCCACCATGTGGGGCCTGGGAACTGAACCCAGGCCCTCAGGCTTGAGGACCTGCTAAGTCATCTCACTGGCCCCTTCAAGCTTTTAAGTTACAGTTAGATAAGGTAGTCATGGTGGTGCCGCATACTTGTAATTCACACTCTCAGGAGGCTGGGGCAAGAGGGTCGCGAGTTCAAAGTCATCCTCAGATGAATATAGAGTTCAAGGCCAGCCTGGGCTACATGACACACTATCTTAGAAGAGAAATAGAGAGGGAGGTAGGGAGGGAGGACTGGAGAAAGAAAAGGAAGAGAGAAACGGGGTGGGGGTGGACCTGGGAGGATGTGGTGGAATAGGAAGTGAATATATGCATATATGAAATTCTCAAAAATTATTAATTCTCAAAATTATTAATTATGTCACACACACACACACACTATATATATATATATATATATATATATTATATAATCTCGAGACAAGGTCTCATTATGTAACCCTGGCTGTCCTGGAGCTCCCTATGTAGTAGGCTAGGCTGGCCCAGACCTCACAGAGATCCACCTCTGGCACCACAACACCCAGCCTCAAAAATTAATAAACTATAAGAGAGAAAAAGAAGGAAGGAAGGAAGGAAGGAAGAGAAGTGAGAAAGAAGGAAGGGAAGAAAATCTGTTGAATTAGTGAATTTAATGACAGTAGGATAGGATACTTCAGTCCTTCTCAGGCTCTTGGGGACTTAGAACAGTATCCGGCCAAGTCTTAAGAGACTGAATTCCAGAGCTCTGGACACACCTCGGGAGCGTTCTGGAGCCTCTCCTGTGATGTCACAAAGCCCCCACCATGCCTCTGGCCTTGGCCCTAGCGCTTCTGTGCTGCCTGGGCTCCGGGGGCTGGAGCTGCCTGCACTGCGACCAGTCGGTGCTGCATGCGCTCAGACAGCTGCGCGAGGCCACCGTCCCCAAGCGCTTCCACCTGGAAGGGCTGCAGGCGCGCGCACAGGCGCTGCTGCTGGGCATGGAGGGGCCTTTCTTCAGGGACTACGCCGTGAACGCGTTCGTGGGGAAAGTGGGTGTGTGCCTGGGGGCGAGGGGGAGAGGCCGGGGCCGAGGTGACTGCTGTGTGACGCGGCGTCCCTCCTGGTCTGCAGAGGAGGACCAACTGGAGGACGTGGCGACCTCCTTCAAGAACCAGACTCGGTACATCAGGACTAGCTCTCTGACAGGTAGGAGGCCCTCCGGCCGGCCGGCCGGCCGTCTCCCCTGCGTGGCTCACAAAAGCGGGTGTTTGAGAGGCCAGGTGACTTGTACAGAGTCACACAGAGCTAAAGATGTATGCGGGACACCGCATCTCTACGACGCCCATCACAAGCTGCGGCGGCCACACACTGCTGTTTTCTTGCGCTTCTCAGACACCACCGTTCTTATAATTGGAGCATTTGTTGATAGTTTCCTCCTGAAAGACTACATTTCCCAGCGTCCTTTGCAGACCACGGAAGTCATTTCCGCCGCATAAGGGGCGGCACCCTATCTTCCCCCTCGCAGTGAATAAACTTAGTTTAACTTAAGGTCAGACCAATCCTCTCTTTCCGCCTCCTTTCTCTCTACAGCCGTCTTTTAAATACTCTGACGTTTGTAGTAACCTTTCCACCTTTGGGTATACCTGGGGCCTGCCATCCTAGTAACCCAGAAAGTGAAAGCGGGAGGATCTTGACTTTGACTCCTGCCCTAATTAGAGTGAGTTCAAGGCCAGCCTCGCAGCTCTTGAGAGGCTGATAAGGGGCTCTTCCCATGGCCAGGAGTCACCGGGGCAAGCTGTTATTCAATCACACACAGTGTGTGCACACATTTTAGTTCCCAGACGCTTGGGCGCCTAACAATTTAGATTCTTTTTTGTTGTTGTTGTTTGTTTGTTTGTTTTTCGAGACAGGGTTTCTCTGGTAGCTTTGGAGCCTATCCTGGCACTCGCTCTGGAGACCAGGCTGGCCTCGAACTCACAGAGATCCTCCTGCCTCTGCCTCCCAAGTGCTGGGATTAAAGGTGTGCGCCACCAACGCCCGGCCTTTTAGATTCTTTTTGGACACTGAACGGGTCATTTTTGCAAAGAGCTGAAATTAAAATCTCTAAACTCTGGAACATTTTTTTTCTTCCTTAAAATTTAATGTGTAAGAGTGTTTTTGTCTGCATTTATTATGGGCCATGTGTGTGCAGTACCTGTGGAGGTCAGAAGAGTGCATCACATCCCCCGGGACTGCAGTTAACAGATGGTTGTGAGCTTCCATGTGGTTGCTGGGAACTGAACCTCAGTCCTTTGTAAGAGCAGCCAGTGCTCTTCACCACTGAGTCATCTCTGCGGCCCAGTTTACTCATTCTGTAAGTGGTTCAAAGCTCGATGGGGCTCTGCATTGATGAGCATCCGTTTCCTCCTCAGACGGTCCTCTGCTGGAAGAGCTGGTGAACCTCAGGGAGCATGGCATCAAAACACTGAAGAAAGCGTTAAAAGCTTATGAAGTAAAAGGTGGCTCCCCAGTCTCCCCAATATGGCCCCTGCCCTCCCAAAGTCCTCCTCTGTGACTCCCAGCATCTCATTGCGACAACATCCCTTCCTCTCCTTCCCCAGATTTGCCCCTTCCCTCCTTTGCTCCCGACCCAATTAAATTCTAAAGCCACCATCCGTGTCCCCATGTCTCTGACATCAGCTCTCTTCTCTTTCAGCCTGTGACCACAAAATTTGTCGTGAGTCCTGCTTTTCCTGTTCACCCCCACCCCACCTACTCCCCATTCCTCCCAGATCAAACCCACTTTACCACAAAACCATGAACCGTGTCACCAAGGGAGGGAGGTTCTCTGCACACATGCACGCACGCGCACCCACACACACACACACACACTTTGGAAGCCAGAGGGTATCATGACACCTTGGGTGTCATGCTCCAGGAACCATCCACCCTGTTATATTTAGTCACAAAATGTGTTTGTGCACCATATGTGTGCAGTGCCCATGGAGGCCAAAAGAGGGCATCAGATTCCCTGGAACTGGAGTTACAGATGGGTAGAAGCCACCATGTAGGTTGGAACTTCCACAATATTAGTCAATGCCTTTAATTACTACTGAGCCATCTCTTCAGCCCCCACCTTGGTTTTTGAGACAGGGTCTCTTAGTGTCATGAAGCTCACTGAATTAGCCTGGTTGCCCAGTGAGTCCCCCAGAATCCCCCTGCCTCTGCCTCCTCAGAGCTGAGATTATAAACCAAGCACACATTAGCACATTCAACCTTTCTGTTCTAAGCATCTTATCCACTGAGCTATCTCTGCCTCCCCTCCCCCTATTGCTTCTTTTTTGACACAAGTTCTCACTCTGTAACCCATGCTGACCTAGAACTCGTGACAGCCTCAGCAGTGCTGGTATTGGACTGAACTCGGGTCGCCAGTCTTGGTGGCCAGCACCTTTACCTGCTGTCCCATCTCACTGGCCCCTCAAGATTGGCTTTTGGGGGTCTTATAAAAATGGTTCAGTGAACTGGGGCCTCAGGCATCTGTAGCTGGGGGTGCCACAGGGTGTGTGGCAGTGACAAATTCCACACCTCAGTGGCTCCACATGACAAATGCTGCTCTCTGACTACATCCCAGGAAGTCCTGTGCTCCCTTGCCTCCACTGCCCCATGCTGACAGCCTACACTGAGCCTAGGGAGCTGCACGGGGAAGTTTTGTGGCCCACCAGACTTTTCATTTTCCTTTGATTCAGTAGGACATGTGGGTACAACTTGCTACAAAGGGATCCTGGGAAAGGTTTACACAGTAAGAGGAGGAGCCAGGTGAACCTGCACCATGCCCACCTTGGCCAGATGAGGCTCCAAGACTGGAAAGTAGCAGGTCCCAAAATGAATAAATGTTGAGGCCAACAAAGTGGCTCAGAAGGAAAAGGCACTTGCTGCCAAGCTTCGCACCTGAGTTCAGTCCTCAGGACCCACACGGTGGAGAGCAGACTCGTCTAGACTAAGTTGTTCTCTGAGCTCCATTCATGTACGTGTGTGTGCATGCACCCAACAGGAAGTACAGCAACAAAGAGAGTCTACAAATGGGAAAAAACAGCTGGCTGGCCCAGATCTGCCACAGAAGCAACCGAGGAAGGCTAAGGCAAGAGAGTCTCAAGTTCAAAGCTAACCTGGGTAACAGCAAAATGCTGTCTCAGAATTTAAAAAAAAAAAAAGTGGCCTGTGTGATGTGGACCAGTGTAGTATCTAGAATTCTCAGTGAGGGACTGGAGTGTGGCTCAGTGGTAGAGCCCCTGCCTTAATACTCAAGACCCTGAGTTTGATCCTTGGCACCCCCCACCCCCTTTGAGAAATATACTATGATCAGAACCAGAACACTGAGTCAACTGGCTATGGAAATTCCATTTAACTCTTCAATGATAGAAAAATCATTTCTGGAGCTGGGAAGTGTTGGCACACGCCTTTAATCTAGCACTCAGGGGGCAGAGGCAGGTGGATCACTTCATTCAAGATCAACCTGGTCTACAGAGCAAGTTCCAGGACAGCCAGGGCCAAACAGATAAACCCTGTCTCAAAAAACAAAAAGCAAAACAAAACAAAAAAATCAAAAAATACAAAATGAAGAAGAGAAAGAAATAACTGTCACATGAACCATCTGCTGTGCCGGGCAGTGACGCTTCCAAAATTCAGAGACCCAGGAGTCCCTACCTCCTTTTTGCCTCATTCCATCTCTGCTCTTTCCAGCTCTTGGCCTTTGATTTTCTCCACATCTCCCTTTCCACCTGCCTAGGCTTTCTCAAAGAGGAGGTCCTGGACTGTTTACATTGCAAGAAAATCACCCCCAAATGCATCAAAGAGAAGTACTGCTATGGTAAGCTGTGGGTTTGGAGAAGGCAGGTGGCATGTGTCAGACAGCCGTGTTCCCATAGGGGTGGTTTCAAGACTCCTCATAGCCCTTATCCCTGTGGAGGTGGCTTTCAAGGCTCTCATAAGCACTTGGAGGCTGAGGCAGGAGAATGTGGAGTTCAAAGCTGGCCTGAGCCACATAACTCCTGCTGCAGCCCCACCTCAAGGTGGGGTAAAGAGACAAGTAGATTCCTGAAGCTCACCTGCCAGCCTGGATGAATTTGCAAATACTAGGTTCAGTGAGAGACCCTATGTCAAAATCAGGGTGAAAAGAGATTGAAGAAGACACTTGACAGACCCCAGAGACACACACACACACACACACACACACACACACACACACACACACTTAAAGTATATTATGGGCTGGCACATGGCTTAGTGGTTAAGAGCACTGAGAATTCTTCCAGAGGACCAAGATAACATTGTTCCTGGCAGCTGTAGGCAACCACATGCACTTCTCAGACCCACAATGACGCGTAATTTAAAAGATCCTATCTGTGAGTCTATAGATTGAGCTCCAGGACAGCCAGGATTACTTAGAGAGAACCTGTCTACAAAAAACAAACATACACACACAGAAAGAGAGACAGAGACACAGAGACAGAGACACAGAGACAGAGACAGAGAGAGACAGAGAGAGAAGATCCTATCTCAGAAAACAAAGCTTGGCCGGGTGTTGGTGGCACACACCTTTAATCCCAGCATCGGGAGGCAGAGGCAGGCAGATCTCTGTGAGTTCAAGGCCAGCCTGGTCTCCAGAGCAAGAGCCAGGATAGGCTCCAAAGCTACACAGTGACACCCTGTCTCGGAAAAAAAAAAAAGAAAGAAAGAAAAGAAAAGAAAACAAAGCTTATGTTTAGATATTCTCATATGTGAAAAGCATAGAAAGATTGACTATGTCAGTCATTCAAACATTACATACATACCCATATCCTTCTGGCAGATAGAACAGTGCAAAAAATCCTTCTGGCCATTGCACCTGCTGTTCCTACTCTCTGCTACTGTCCCCTCCCTCTGATTAGGTCTCAAAGCCATGTCTTCATGGTAACACTTCCTAAAACATCACTTTCCATCAGACTATGTCTACACTGCACACCCCTCCACCTCTGTTTTACCCATTTTATTCTTTGTTATCTTAGTCTATTTTTTTGTTACTGTTTTTGGTTTCTGAGACAGAATTTCTCTGTGGCTTTGGAGGCTGTCCTGGAACTAGCTCTTGTAGGCCAGACTGGTCTCAAACTCACAGAGATCCGCCTGTCTCTGCCTCCTGAGTGCTGGGATTAAAGGCGTGCGCCACCACCGCCTGGCATCAGGCTTTTCTTTACTCTCCTAATCTCATTGAGTCCCACACATAGCTCCATCCCCCTTCCTGGAACTCCATTTGTCCTCAGACTGTACATTTTATATTTCCCCTTGCTCAGCTTGTTCCTTCTCATTGCAGATCTGCGTATGAGTAGCCTGTATGACACAGTTAATAAATGCTAGGCTATCTTGAAGTCTCTTTCACCAATACCATTTATTCAGAACTCTTCAGTTTAGCCTTAGGCAGATGTTTTGGACAAGGGCAGACAGCAGCCACATTTTTTGCCAAAATATCACAAGAGTAGTGTCTAGTTCCCCTATTAATATCATTCTCGTCTGAAAACCTCTAGAGCTAGGCTGCCATTTCTCAGCACCACTGTCTTCCACACTCCTACTAGGATGGCCCATTAAGCTCCACTTAGTGTTCAACTGCTTTCTTAATCCAAAGTCGACATTGCACCATCAAGCAGTATGGTCTGGCTTGTCACAGCAATATCCTGCTCACTGGCACCAACTTCTGCCTTAGTGTTCTATTGCTGTGAAGAGACTCCATGAGCATGGCAATTCCTATAAAGGAAAGCATTTAATTGTGGCTGGCTTACAGAGGTTCAGTCCATTGTCATCATGGAGGAGAGCGTGACTGCATGCAGGCAGACGTGGTGCTGGAGGACGAGCTTTCCTCTTTTAGAGACAGGGTCTCACTGTAGCCCAGACTGCCCTCAGCTCAGAGTAGTCCTCCTGCCTTAGTGTCCCAAGTGTTTAGATGACATTTGTGAGCCACCACATCCAGTCCTTTTCTTGTTTCCTTACCATATCCAACAAGAAGTGAGTTTTTTGGCTGTTGCTGGGACAGGCTGGGCTGTGGTGCTAGCCACGGTGAATGTTACTTGGGAGCCCGATACAACACTGGGTGGTGAGCCAGGTGAACAGTGGGGTGGAGGAGGTTACAGAGGAAGGTGGTGTGGCGCTGAATTCCACTTCCAACTGCCCAGTGGACGGGCAGCCCCGCATGACTCTCAAGTTCCAGTCTGACAGCAACCTGAGGAACATGGTGTTGGTGGGCGACTTGGTGGCCGTGGGACTGGCTATCCTAGTCTTCTTGGTCATCCTGATCGCGTGAGTCACCCCTAACCCTCTAAGTCCCTCAAACATGGATACCACCCAGGTGTGGTGGTCCACTACTCTGACCCCAGCACTGGGGAGGCTTGAAGCAGGAGGATGGCTGTAAGTTCAAGGCCAGTTTGAGCTACACAGCAAGATGCTATCTCAGAGAGTGGGGAGAGGTGGGATGTGGCTCAGTTGGTAATTGCCTTGTATAATCAAAGTCGTAGGTTCAATTCCTAGTACTGGATAAATCAGGTATGGTGTCACAAACTTGTCATCCCAGCATTTGGGAGTTGGAGGATGGAGGATCAGAAGTTCAAGGTCATCTTTTGTTAGTAGTGAGTTTGAGTCTAGCCTGAGCTACATGGGACCCCATCTCAAAAAGAAAGAGAAATGAGGTATGGAAATGAAGGAAGCAAGGAAGGAAGCAAGGAAGGAAGGAAGGAAGGAAGGAAGACAGAAAAATGGATGCATAAAGGGGTCTTTGGTTCGCCCTCACTGTGTCCTTCAGGGCCCTTCTCTCTTTTTTTCCTCTTCTGTCTTTCCTTTCCTCTCACCCTCTTTTTTTTCTTTTTCTTTTTTCAAGACACTGTTTCTCTGTGTAGCCCTAGCTATCCTGGGACTCACTCCTTAGACCTTGAACAGATCTACCTTCATCTGCCTCCTGAGTACTAGGATTAAAGGCATGTGCCACCACTACCTCCAAGATATTATTTATATATATATTTGTATGTATGTCTGGAGAGTGTGTGCATATTAGTACAGAGCTCACGGAGGTCAGAAGACGACATAGGATTCCTGTTAGCTGGAGTGAGGTAGTTGTGAGCCACCATTTGGGCACTGGGAACCAAACTTGGGTTCTCTGTAAGAGCAGTAAATGCTGTGAACCCCTGAGTCATTGTCCCAGCCTAACCTGGAACTCATCTTTTGTCTCAGACTTCTTAGTGCTGTGATAACAAGCATTAGGTTGCATTAATGATGAAACTTAACAGCTCATGGTACATAGCCAGGGCATATAGGAGGGGCACCTCTTCCTATGAGATTGCTTAGAGCCACAGAAATTTATTCTTGGGAGGTGCTGGGGGCATGGCTCAGTGGTAGAGCCCCTGCCTAGAATCCCCCAGTGAGGGGCTGGGGTGTGGCTCAGTGGTAGAACATTTGAGTAGCATGCCTGAGGCCTGTGCTCAATTCTTATCACTTGAAGATATTATCTGGGGCTGTCCAGCTGGCTCAGCAGGTAGTCACTTGCCTGTTAGTAGGAGTTGGCTCCCCAGGACCACATGGAAAATTGGCTCCCACATGTCCTCTGACCTCCACATACATGCCATAGCACCCACACACAAACACACATAAAAATACATGAATAAGTGAATACATAAACAAATGTAAACATGTAAAGGTTTGAATTGTAGGCTAGACACCCTATGTCATGAGTAGCCATGGGAGTCCCTGAGGGTGGATTGCTTATTCCACACGTATCTCTCCGCTGCCTTTAGCTTCGGGGAGCCTTGGATATTTGTCAGTTTGTTTCTTCCAGCCAAGCTTTGCTTCTGACTTCATGTGACTGGAGTCCTGGGCCAGCAGATTCTAAATGACTGTATTAACCACTTTCCCCCAAGGGAAGCAAACAGAGGCAGGAAGAAGACATTCTCATTCACAGTGGTCATTGGGAAGATGAAGTTAAAGTATTGCAGTTTGGTAAATAGAGATTTGCATTCAAACAAAGGAGGACCTGGGGTAGGGGTCCATGCCATGAGCAGATGAACAGTCCAGTCAGGGTTTGGTTGGCTAGGTCATTAATCTCAGGCCTGCTTCTGCAAGATGTGAAAAAGTCCAAGTGCTTGAGAGAACACACCTTTCATGAGATCACTGCTACTCAGTGTGAGCTTGTCCTGGGCTGATTTTTTTTTTTTCAATTTTATGAGACAGGGTTTCTCTGTATAACAGTTTTGGCTGTCTTGGAACTCTCTCTGTAGACCAGACATCCACTTGCCCCTGCCTCCTGAGTGCTGGGATTAAAGGTGTGCACCACCACCACCTGGCTTTGGGCTTATCTTTTATTTTTATGTGTATGGGGTTTTTGCCTACATGTAAGTTTGTGCACCATGGGACTGCCTGGTTCGCTCAGAGACCAGAAGAGCTCATTGGATCCCCTAAGACTGGAGTTATAAATGGTTGTGAGCTACCGTATAGGTAGAGGGAATCAAACCTGTGTCCCCTGGAAGAGACATTAAGCTCTTAACCACTGAGCCATCTCTCCAGCCTACCCATCCCTGCCATGTTCCTGTTATCCAAGGAGACTAAAGGCTTAGGACAATGACCGGAGTCCTCCAGGCTGGCCTGGAACAGGACACTATAAACTGGCAGGAAAGTAGCTCAGTTCCTCTTAGATTTGTTTCTTCGGTTTGTAAGTGCGAGAGACAGGGTCTGACCAGGTTCTAGGTAGATAATCCTTGCGTTTAACACTAAATGCTCAGGTAAGCAAGGGAGACAGATGAAAACTGGAGACAGATGCCAGGCTTTCATCTTACCTTTTGTTTTGTTCTATTTGGTTTTGGCGGCAGGGTCTCAAAATTGCAGTGCGGCTAAGAATGACTGCCTCCACCTCCCTAGTGCAGCTTACTACCATGCCTTGCTTGTTTAGTGCTGGGGGTGGGCTGCAGGCTTTCATGTGCTAGTGAGCACTTTAAACTCCCCCATCCCAGCTCCAGCCGGTGGCATCTAAGTTCCCATTTATCAGGTAGCTTTTTGTTTTCTCTCTGAGACACAGCCTTTCTCATGTAATGACACCAGTGTTTGGATACAACCCAGACCTAAACTCGGGATGATGTCAGCTTGTCTTAATTACACCTACAAAAACTGTTTCCAAACAAGGCCACTTGGGCAAGAGCTGGGGATTGGGAAGTGGGAGAAATAACTTGTGTGTGTGTGGGGGGGCTGCTGTTCAGTCATGGTACTCTGCTCCTGCCTTTTGTTATTTCTCCTTCTGTACATCCTTCCTTGCTCCTGGCTCCCTTGATTCCATATTCTCCCTGTCCTGACCAGAAATTAATGATGTCTCTGTCTGAGCCCCTGGTGTGTGTGTCAGTTCCAGCCTTCATTGTCCTTCATTTTGCCATCTGTATCTCCATCCATCCATCATCTGTCATCTACCTACTTACCTACCTATTGTGTGTGTGTGTGTGTGTGTGTGTGTGTGTGTCTATCTGTCTGTCTGTCTGTAGTGTACACGTGTGTGTGTGTGTGTCTGTCTGTCTGTCTGTCTGTCTGTCTGTCTGTAGTGTACATGCATGCATGCATGCATGCATGCCAGGACAAGCACGTGGAGGTCAGAGGACAGCTCTCTAGCTTCTGTTTTCATCTTCAACCATGTGGGTCATGAGGATCAAATTCAGAGTGGTAGGCTTATTAGCAGCTTTCTTTACTGTCTGGGCCACATCACCTCACAGCCCCAGTTTTTGGATTTTTGAGATGTGGCCTCACTCTGTAGCCCAGACTGGCTTGGAACTCAGGACAGTCCTCTTGTCTCAGCCTCCCAAGTGCCATGATTACAGGCATGTCCACCTGACCCATTTAACCTTCCTCTTTTTCCTTCTGACCAGGGCTTGTACATATAGACGAAACAGAAAACTCCTGCTGAAGTAGGCTAGTGACTTTGGTGTTTGCAAAAGGAAAGTAAATTTAATAAAATCAGTGACAAATTCCTTAGTGTCTGTCATTCCCTGTAAACACTCAGTCCTCTGTTTTACTAGGTGCTGTGTGTGTGTGTGTGTGTGTGTGTAGTACTGGGCATTGAACATACTGCCTAGTGCGCTAGGCAGGGCAAGCATTCCACCCTGAGCTACATCCCAGCTCTTTTTACCTCTTTTGGGGTGGGTGTAACGATAAATCTTTCCTCCGCTGCCTGAGTTCTGCCCGCCGCCACATTAGGGCCCCAAATAACACATAGAGACTTATATTAGGTACAATACTGCTGGCCAATGACTAGGATTTCTTATATGCTAGTTCAGTCTTAATTATCAACCACAATTATTAATCTATATATTTTATAAGAACTTATAGAGGACGCCAGCCTTGCATCCTGTCTTCCTGGAGGTCACATGGCTGCAACTCTCTCTCCTCATTTCCCAGAATCCTCCTTGACTCCTAGTCCCGCCCATCTTGTTTCCCTATTGGCCAACAGTGTTTATTCACTAACCAATAAGAGAGACACATACACAGAAGGACCTCCCCATCATCTCCTTGCAGCTGGCATTGGCAGTGAGCACGTATCCAAGCTGGCAGCATGCTCCTTGGTGGCAGCATAGACCAAGGCAGTGAGCACAGCTCTCAGAGCTGGCAGGGCAGCAGATAAGAAAGCCGCCACTTTAATTTTGGCAGTGTTGTTTAACAGTTAAAAGATTGTGTGGCCAGAAAAAGGTAAAGATTTACAATAAAGACAGATGAAGAAAAACTTTTAAAGGTTTACAGTGCGTTTAAAAATATACGTAGGCTTGTGAGAGAAAAAGAAACAGGAGGAAATAGAGTAGTTGGGTGTGGTGGCACATACCTTTAATCCCAGCATGGGAGGGCTGTCTCTTTTTTTGTTGTTTTTCGAGACAGGGTTTCTCTATGGCTTTGGAACCTGTCCTGGCACTCACTCTGTAGACCAGGTTGGCCTTGAACTCACAGAGATCCGCCTGCCTCTGCCTCCCTAGTGCTGAGATTAAAGGCATGTGCTACCACTGCCTGGCTTCATTTGTTTATTTATTTATTTATATTTATTTTATTAATACAGGGTGTGATGGTGAATGTTGTCAACTTGACAAGAATCTAGAATCACGTGGAAGACAGGTCCTGGGCATGCATGGGGGATGTTATCTTGTGGCTCCTGAGCTGTATAAGTGAAAAGAGCTAAGCAGCAGCAAGCATAAAATAAAATCATTTTAAAGAAATAAAAAGAAACAAAAGACAAGACAAGGAAAAAGAAAGAAGATAGGAGGGAGGCAGGCAAGGGGGGTAAGTGGCACGGGAAACTACATTTCCCAGAAGTCTCTGCTCTCGGGCAAGTGTGGGACCTTGGTGTCCGTCATCCCGCGCAGTTTTGCTAAAGGCCAGAAGTCCGTCATCCCGCGCAGTTTTGCTAAAGACCAGAAAAGTGTGTCTCAACACCAATTTCCCATTTGCCAAATCTTTCAGTCCAGCTTGTTGTAATTATAGAGTCCTGTACACTCCCAATCGAGCGCTTAGACTGGACCATGGACTCCGACTCAATGAATACTGGGAATTGTAGTGCCGGCCCGCGCAGGCGCACTTCGCCATAAGACAGTGGTTGGTGGCGGTCATTTAAAGCTGTGGGTCACTGGGTCTCCTTGGGAGAGGTGGAACTGATGTCTGACCTTGACCTCTTCATTGGCTGTTACCCGCTACAGCCGCGAGGTACTTCAGAAGCTTGGCAGCATCTTAGGCTCAGAATCAATAATAACTTTTTCATGAGACAGGGTCTTATGTAGTCTAGGCTAACCTCGAACTCAGTATGTAGTGGAGAACTCAATATGACCTTGAACTCCTGATCCTCCTTCCTCCATCTCCCGAGGGACAGACATGCACCCACACCAGTTTATGTGGCTGGGCATTGAACCCAGAGTTTTGTGTGTGCCAGGCAAGCACTCCACCCTCTACCAATGGAGCTACGGGTGTGATTTGAGTTTGTTGTTGTTGTTTTACTGTTTTTGGTTTGGTTGGTTGGTTTTAGTTTTTCTTTTTTCTTTTTTAAGTGAATTTCTAAAAGATTAGGTTTTTTTGTTTTGTTTTGTTGTACATTGGGGGTTTGCCTACATACCTGTCTGTGTGAGGATGACAGATCCCCTGGAACTAGAGTTACAGACAGTTGTAAACTGCCATGTGGGTGCTGGGGATTGAACATGGGTCCTTGGGAAGAATGCCCAATCACTTAGCCATCTCTCTAGCCTCCCTTTTGGTTTGGTTTGGTTTGGTTTTGGTTTTTGAAGACAGGGTTTCTCTGTGTATCACTGGCTGTCCTGGAACTTGCCCTGTAGACCCAGCTGACCTTGAACATAGAGCTCTGCCTCCTAGTGCTGAAATTAAAGGTGTGATGTGATTTGTTTTTTAATTTTCATACATAAACAATCACTCTGTGCCTCCTATACTGGCAGGAGGAAAGTATCCACTTCTAGAAACAAGCCATCACTGTGCTGTGCCAATTATGCTGAAAACCAAACCAACTGTTTTAAAAACAACATGGGACTGGGGAGATGGCTCAGCGGTTAGGAGCACAGGCTGCTCTTCCACAGGTCCTGAGTTTAAGTCCCAGCAACCACATGGTGGCTCACAACCATCTATAATGAGATCTGGTGCCCTCTTCACCAGAACACTGTCTGCATAATAAATAAGTCTTAAAAAAAAAAAGAAAGAAAGAAAGAAAAAGAAGGTAAAACAAAAAAATCCACCGTTCTCATGCCTCTGGGTTTAAATGAGTTACTATGGAGCCCTTAGAACAGAGAAAAAAAATAGAAGGGAGACACAACAGAAACCAGTGAAGGAAGAAATTCTAGAGGTTAGCATGGGAACAGTAGCTGCAACAGTAAAAATGACGCCAGCTGGGTAGTGGTGGTGGCGGCGGCAGCAGTGCTGCAGCAGCGACCTTCACCTGGGAGGCAGAGGCAGGCAGATCTCTTGAGTTCGAGGCCAACCTGGTCTACAGAGTGAGTTCCAGGACAGCCAGGGCTACACAGAGAAACCCTGTTGTGAAAAGCAAAACAAAAATAACAAAAACTGGAAGCCCTTAGACCACCTGCCATTCATTCAACCATGCTCCCTAAAGCACAGCATTATGGGAAGTGAGGGGAGGTGGGTACCATGTTGATGATCCATAAAGGACCCTGGGGAACCTTGCTGTGGTGTGTGGGGAGGGTCAGTTCTTTCTTTTCATTTTGGGGTAGCAGGGATGGAACTCCAGTTATCAAGCTTGGCTGCAAGCACCTTTACCCACTAAGCCATTTCACCAGCCCTCTGGTTTTGTTTTCACTTTGAAAACATATTTTAAAAGTATGTGTGTGTGTATATATGTCTGTGCATGCATTCATGCACAGGTGTGCACAGGTGTTTTCGCAGGTCACAAGAGTGCATCAGACTCCATGGAAGGAGTCACAGGTGGTTGTGATTTGCCTAGTGTGGTACTGGGATTTGAACTTGAGTCCTTTGCAGGAGCAGTAAGTACAGTACCCTCTACTCTTAGCCTGGCTCTCTAGCCCCTGGTTCTGTTGAGTCCTGCCCTGTAGCCCAGGCTGGTCTGGAACTTACTTTGTAGCACAGACTAGCCTGGAGCTCACTATGTAGTTCAGACTGGCTTCCAACTCCCAGCAGTTCCCTTGACTGAGCCTCCTGAGAGCTGAGATTATAGGCATGCATGCCTCACCTTGCCAGGCTGTGAAAACACCTTAGGTTCTCTCAAAGTCAGCTTTCTCCCACTCCCACTCAGCTCAGTGAGAGTTTCAGCTGCCACCCTGGGTTCCCACAGGAACCCCCTGGATGCCAGCCCCAAAGCTGGGATAATTGCTGTGTTGTAATTCTTTAATAAATGTCTGTCTCCCCATCCCAGACCGTGATCCCCAGAAGTCCTCATCACCTTCTAATTTCAGCACAATTTAATTATCCATTGTTGATGTCCCCAGGAAATTCCCATGAAGTGGGAGGAAAGGCTACACTTCAGTGGGAACACTGTGAAAAGAAGGAAGGTGGGGAGAGGGAGGGAGG